TGCAGAGTTGCGGCTTGCCAACACTGCAGGTCGACGGCGTGCCAACGTCGCAGGTTGACGGCGCGCCGACGTTGCTCCCGCAGGACAGCAGCGCACCTACTTCGCAGATGATTGGCGTGCAGTGCCTCGTCACCTGCACAGCGCACACACCACATCAACTACGTGCTGACGACTGCCTCTGATGCACCACGTCGACCTCGGGATACCATCACCGAGGTCGTCCTCGCCAAAACCACCCGGGCGAACGTCGCATGCCTCCGCAGAACCTCGTCACCCAGGTAACCTGGTCGACCGAGCAACCAGGTCGACCAGAGGCTCCTGTGCGTGCCCGTCGACCACCCAGGTCGACGACCACTTCCGGTCGACCTCCCCAGGTCGACCACTGCCTCTGGTATGTGCCGGTCGACCTCCCAAGTCGACGGCCACCTCCAGTCGACCTCCCCAGGTCGACCACTACCCCCTGGTCGACCAGCTCCAAGTCGACGTCACTCCAGGTCGACCAGAAGGTCTGGTCGACTCCTGAGGTCAACCAGAAGGGCTGGTCGACTTACCGGGTCGACCAGAAGGTCTGGTCGACTTCCCAGGTCGACCAGAAGGGCTGGTCGACTTACCAGGTCGACCAGAAGGTCTGGTCGACTTCCCAGGTCGACCAGAAGGGCTGGTCGACTTACCAGGTCGACCAGAAGGTCTGGTCGACTTCCCAGGTCGACCAGAAGGTCTGGTCGACTTCCCAGGTCGACCAGAAGGGCTGGTCGACTTACCGGGTCGACCAGAAGGTGTGGTCGACTTCCCAGGTCGACCAGAAGGGCTGGTCGACTTACCGGGTCGACCAGAAGGTCTGGTCGACTTCCCAGGTCGACCAGAAGGTCTGGTCGACTTCCCAGGTCGACCAGAAGGGCTGGTCGACTTACCGGGTCGACCAGAAGGTGTGGTCGACTTCCCAGGTCGACCAGAAGGGCTGGTCGACTTACCAGGTCGACCAGAAGGTCTGGTCGACTTCCCAGGTCGACCAGAAGGTCTGGTCGACTGCCCAGGTCGACCACCCGAAGTTGGCATCCTCACGAAGTCGGCGCCCATGCAGTGGCTCCCCGTGCAGGTCGACCAACCTCGTCGACCAACTCGCCCACTGCTGCAGGTCGGCTGCACCCTACACCCGACCACGAAGTCGGCACCGCCCAAGCGAGGACGGGGCCAACATACAACTCCCGTTGACAGTTACATACATAGATTCATATGTGATGCATACATATATATTAGATATATACATCATTAGCAGAACATCAACTAGGCCTCCCTCCCTCCTTACTCCATCCCTCCCTCTTGCCTCCACCCATCTCCTCTCCAAGTCTACTACAGGAAAGCAACCTTCAACACAGGCATCTAACCCCATCGCATTTCACCTTCCGCTCCTCTTCAAATCCCGGCCCCCACTCACCTTCTCTTCCAGCCTAAAAGGAGGAAGCCCAAGGTAAAAGCAGCCTTTCCCCCATCCCCCTTGCCCATCCCATTTGCGTGCCAAATACGCTTATTGCATACATAAGCGTATCGTATATACGCTAGCGTATGTATGCTATCCGCGTAGGGGTCGATTTGGACATACGCTTTTTCGGGCAGGGGAAAATCTTTTTCGGGCTGGGCAAAAAAAGGTACTCCCCTATTTCGAAAGGTGGGTAAGGTGGGAGGTGGAGGCGACAATAGCACTTGGACGCGGGAATGGATAGGAAAAGACGAGGAGTTGGGGTGGCTGGTAAGGAGCGTGAGGTAGGTTGGGGTTTCGATTTGCCAGATCTGCATGGGAAGATATCGGCCGAATCCCTCCAAAAAGCCCCCTTCGCCCCTGCGGGTTTCCCCTGGAGGGATTTTGGTTTTCCCGCAGTCGCCTAGCGGCGCACGCGAGGGGCGGGAGCCGCCCCCCCCCCTACGCCCGAAAACGGGCACCCCCAGCTGGCGCCAGCTGCACATTACGCCACCGACCCGCGCCCTCGAGCTGGCAGTGGTCCCCCCCCAACCGAACCCAACCCCACCCTGGGTTCGTAGACGGGTTCCGTCCGGTAACCCACGGAACCCTCGCCTGGCGTCGCCTCGCTGACGGAACCCGTCCGCGGAATTTTGCGAGCTGACGGAAGCGGCGCCCATCTCGGTCGCGCTGCACCGCTCTCGACTGAAAGGGCCCGTTTCGGTTCGCGCTCGACCCGGGTGACGTGTCGAACGCCCCCTCCACCTCGGTGAAAGGGCCTCCCTGCTGCATGATAGGCGCCCCACCTCATGCAGGCAACAGATTTCACGTCGAGGCCAATAGGGCCCCACCGCCAACTGCGAAAAGCTCCTTCTCCGGCCGTCGCGGAACTCCAAGGAACGGGAACACCCAATGTGGAATAGTTGCATGTGTCCTTATGAATATTCATGTGTAGTTGTTTCTTTCACCCGTTCTGTTTCTTGGTTCTGAGGATGTATTCTGTTGGTTCTAATGTGTTCTTCATGTTGTTGATGGTTCTGTACTACACGAGCCACACCGTTCTGTCCAGCGCAATCCTCGACGTCACGAGCCACACCAGTCTATTCAGCGCCCACCTCGACGTCACAATTCATTCCGGTAGTGGCTCAGCCCGTTGTGACGTACCAGCGTTCGACGGACACTGCCGTTCATGTCGAAGTGGGGGGTCCACCGACTGAAGTTCCTTCGACCGCGCATTCCATACCTGTTGTTATAGAACCGATCTTGACAACAAACCCTCCTTCAACACACGAAGCTCCAAATCAGGGTGTAGCATCATCGACCGCACACCGCTCGACAACACAACCGGATCCCGTAGCTGGTGACCCAAGCTCAACTGATGGGCGACGTAGGAAGAGGGGAAAGGAAGTTCCGGCTGAGGTTCGCCCACCACCCCGGGATGGTACACCCGCCTCGCGAGCCACTCCCGCCGCTCCTAGGCGCTCGTCGAATAGACCCAGCAGAGCTGACTTAGCCAGCCACGTTCCTGAAGAGACGAACGATGAGGACGATAAGCCCGGAGAACAGCACGAGGCGGACGATGTCGAAGAGGTGGAGGGATTGCGCGCTGCCCCGGCGGATATATCTGAAGAGGCTGCCGCGCACCTTTTCGGCGACGAAGGGGGCAAAGAGAATCCGTACCTGGCGACAGGAACACTGGAAAGTAAAATTTACCGTTGTGAGCTTCCGCTACGGGGAATTGACCAGAATACCACTCGGCCGAACTATGTCTCAGGTTTTATGCATTACAAGGCCTGGGCCTGTGCAACTCTTGCGCCCGGAAAATGCAACGGAGTGCCTGAAGAGGAGAAGGTGAAGCACGAGGACGAGGTCGGGAAAGCGATCGGCGATGGTAAAGGTACCGGTTGGAGGGAGGCGCTCCGTAATGAGGAGCACCTGCATGGGCCTCGTACGTCAAAATGGCGCTTGCATGCGTACGTCGAGTACTTGTCGACGGAAACCGACGATCAGGCGGCTTCCCTGGATACCGGGCGGACCAGAGTTGCGGAAAGGAAGCCGAAAAAATGCACACCCCCGATGATGTTAGCGTGCCTTACTGCGCTATCGTGCTTATGCAGAGTGGAGGCCGTACTCTTCGACGAACCACGAACAAAGCCTTTCGATGACTTCTCTGAGGCTCGACAACTACTTGCGGTCAAGCTGCGGGAACTGCACGACGACCAGTTCCAGTAAGTACGCATGCATATTCCGTCGCTGGCACGTTCTCACTCACTATCTCACTCGAGCATTGCAGTATTTGCCCACTCAATGCAGGAGGTGCGTCGACCCACACAGGGGCTCGCTCGTCGATGTCTACAAGGAGGAGCAGTTCCGCATTCTGGTTTCCGACATCCTGCCGCACTGGGCCAAGGAGTACTTCAGATCGTCGATGGCGTACCCAAGTCAGTCACTTTGGAAGGCCTTGGCTGTGAGAGTGATGATCCTGATGGCGCATCACATGCTGGGCAGGGGAATCAGCATTCGTACCATGCGCTACTGCAACATGTTCACTCACGTCCTTCTGCCGATCACGAAGAGCTCGGGGGAATCGTCGATCCTCGTTCTCGTGGTCGCATGTCGCGATTCAAAGACCATCAAAGACAACAAGCTCGGCCACCAGTACCTGACTCGACACATGGACTACCAGCAGTGCGGCTTCGGGGCGGTTTTCCTGTGGTTACACTTCCTCTTCGACCTCATCCCCTCTACTACAAGGACGACAAGATCGTGCCCCCCTTGGATTTTTCCGACCCGGAAGCTTGGTCGAAGAAGCACCTGTTTTTCGCCCTCTTTGACCAAGAGAAAAAAGAGATGCCGTACCCGACGCACAACAAATGGATCACCTGGGTGATGAAGAACGGGGTGTGGATCCTGTCGAAGGTCACGCACATTTTTCGATGATCGGTGGCGCAAATCCTCGCTGACAAGAACTGTGACCTCGACACCATCGCGTAGCTGGGAGGATGGGACATGAACGAGATGCGCAGGTCGTACGTCATAGGGGTCCCGCGAAAGTCCATCCAGCTGCAAACGGGTTTTTCCAAGGAACCTGGTGACTACTACATCGGAAGATCGAAGACCAAAGTGCCCTCGAAGGTCCTGAAGGCTATCGAGGAGCACATCTTTCCTAAAGCGGAGGAGTGGCTCATCCAGGTATTGCTTTGTCGAGCAACCAACGAAATCGTCGAACACAATTTTTGCCCGTTTATCTCTCAATGTCACCCCGTTGGATTTTCTTCAGGCCCAGGAGTGGAACAACGAGCAGGACAAGGAACATATGTACTACGCAGCGAAGAGTTTCTTGGAGGCCCTGCAAGCCGCCCGAATGCCCGTCGCAGAGGATCTTGCGATGTACTACGTCCATTGTGACGACCACCCCTTTGACGGGGTGAGCGTTTGCGACTGCGAGCGTCACCCTTACGCTCAGATGTCAGGTTTGTGCAAGGACGAAGATTTCCAAAAATAGGCGCTCGACGTGTACATGCTCGACAAATACGGCATCGAGATGCGGTTCAACCTGACGATGTTGAGAGCGTCGGTAAGATGGCCCTTCCAAATCTATAACCGATGACTTTGCATCAGTACATTGACTGCACGTGTTTTGTGTGCAGGACGTATCCTCTAAACTCAACACCAAGCACCTCATCACGCAACTTCGGGCCGAGATCAACTTCCACAAGGAGGAGGGAGGGAAAAAGCAAATCCAGATCAACCACCTCGAGAGGAAGGTCGAATCATTGGAGCGGGAGAAGGGCACGATGCAGGCGGAGTTGGTGGCGAAGACAAAGGCGCTCGCGCAACTACAGAAAGCGTTCGACGCACTGAAGAATACCGCGGCGACAATCTCAGTTGCAAATGTGGGGGAGAGGGAGAGCGTGCCGCAGAGGGTGACGGAGGAAGCCACCCCGGTACCACCCTAAGCCCAACAATCAACACCCACTCGACAGAGCGTGGACAGCCAGCTCGACCAGACATTCTTCGACGCGGTGGTGTGGCCTTGGTGTAATTGCGAGACCGTGCGGCGGGCGTGGTCGTTACTGGGGCGGGCCAAGGCCACTCAACAATGGGCACAGAAAGGGCTTCGCTGTCATTGCAAGTTCACTCCGACTCCACCCCCCGTACCCCCTGAAGCGGAGGCCCTGCCAGAAGAAAAGCCACCGACCCCAAAAGTTGTCGAGACAAAACTGCGGAAGATGGAAATTGTCATGAAGGCCGTCGAGCTGTTCCGTTCCGACAACAGCGGCGCGGCTACGTCGATGGTCATCGACAAGCTGGACTCGATCATCAAAAAATACTCGATCAACATGCTGGCGGAAGGGCTCGTACTCAAGGAGGATTTGGGGAAGCAGCTCACGAAGAAGTGCAAAGTCGAGTCTGCAGAAGAAAACCGAAAGGACAAAGACCGCCTCAGGATCACGCAGGAGCTCATTGGCGGTCAAGGTGTTCATAGACAAATGGAAGGACTTCATGGGAACATTGGGTGCGGGCCCTAGTTCGACGGCCAACCTATGACGAGGGGGGAACCTACTGTAGGTTGTTCTTGTAGGGTTTACATGGCATCTTCTCCTAATGCATGTTTTGAGTACATCTCGAGAAGATGAAACAGTACAGCATTATCGTAACGAAAAAGTCAAGTCAATGCAGCCATAACATTCTGTTGATCAAACTCGTAAAACAACAAACACACCTGTCAAATGATGCAAACACCCACACGCAATGCGCCCGCCTATACTACTCCCCATGCCCGCCTGTTTCCGCCTCTGTAGTATCCTCGTCGCCCGCCTTCGCCTTGCTCTTTTCTTCTGGCATTGCTAGGCTCCCATAGCCCGCGTCCTCAAGCAATCGGGCCGCAAATCAACAGCAGCACCATTGCGTACAGACCTGTGCTACCACGCGCACCATCTGCAACGGGACGGCGTCAGTCGAGCCGAGGCCTTCGACAGCCGATGAATATAGCAGATCGGGCTACTGCTTGGCCGGGAACGTCTTGCCGATGTGCAAAAGTACAGACACGAGCGCGGCCAAGGCAGTCGCACTAGCCTTTGTCTCCATCTCCAGGATGTAGAGCGTTGCGTTTGCGGCAGCCAGGGCATCGTTCAGAATATCTGCCCTCGACAACTTCCTGCAGGCCGCCCACAAGCTTGTCACAGTTGCTGCGACGGCCATCATGTGCGCAGTCCCGAGCATGCTTTTCGGGACCGGATAAATCTGGTTCACGTGCTTCAGGCCAAGCGTCGCAACCTTCCCAATAACCGCGCACAGCGCAATTCCCCAGTCGGTTCCAGCTCTCACTTCCATATTTGCCGTCGCCAGCAGCGACCTGAAATTGCACATCGAAAAAAATGTGAACGTCACACAACACGACTTCGACAGAAAACACGAGAGCACTTCGACCGGCGGCAGTAAAACCGCTACGACAGTCAAACGACAGGACATCGACAGAACCCACTCGTCGAAACGGCATTCCCCTTGTTCTTGCGCCACGCTCCATACGGCGGTGGGCATACTTGCGGCTGCATCGCGATAGACCTTCCAGTCCTTCTCATCCTGCGCCGTGAACCCGGGGTACCCCTTAAGGTCTATGTCGGGGTAGTACACACGCTAACAGATGGTCGTACAGAACTTTTGGTCCTTTGTCGATTCAAAATAACCCAGGAACCGCTTCCTCCTGCCTACGGTCTACTCGGAAACCGGCTTCTTCCCCCTCCGCGACATCATGCCCGTTCCCTTGAATGGAGCTTTGCAGCCTCTCATCTTGCCTTGGTCGTCCGGCGGGGGATATGGGGCGTAGCCATCGACCTTGGGCCTCTTCGATTTTTCTTGTCGAGCAGCAACGACGGTAGACACCTTCTCGACAGGAGCTTCGCCACGGAGGCTGCCCGACTCCACCACGTCACTGCTCTTTGTCACCTCTGCAGCGCGCTTCGTCGACTTCGTCACAGCCTGCCTCTTCTTCGACGCGGAAGGGGAACCCGGATCGCTAAAGAAGACGTCGCCTAGGGCGGGAGCAGCGACAGGAGCAACTGGAGGGGTAGAGGAAGACCCTTAACCCACAAGCTCGACAGCACGGCTAGCACCACCGCTCTGCGCAGCCGATACTGCTTTAGTCTTCGACAGCAACCCAGCGTTGACGACGACCTGGGTGGGAGCACCCCATGTCTCCCCCGCTCCTTTCCCCGCAGCGCGGCCGGACGGGGTAGGGGCACCTCGCTTTCCCAGGGCGATTTTCCCAGCTAAGGCGACGGACTTGATCGGGCCACCACTTTCCCTGTGATGGCGAACACACATCCAGCTTCATTGCTTAGAATTAATATCCAAGAAAAGAACGCATCCTCAGGGTGCGCACTCGCCAGATGTCCCTTCAAGTCACCCATTATAAAAATATTACAACCTGTCCTGCTGGTATGCGGTGCCTCAACCCGTCAGACTACCTCTATAGGTTTTATGTTACTGTAACGTACCCCCTGTTTGCACCAATCTAAACACCACCGACATGAGTTGACATGCGCCTCACAACCACCCAACCACATTTCCTCCGTCGACACACGGATTACGGATTAGGAGAAGATGCCATGTAAACCACTCCCACCTGGTACGTTCGCATAGGCCATATGGAATAGTGATGCGGCATCCCACGATGCACCACGTTGTCTAGCAGATGTTTAATCATGTGAATCTTTGGGAGTTCCCAATGAGATTTCTGCAATTTGAAGGCCTTTAGTAGCAGCTCCACCAGCCTGCCACAACATTCACATAAATACACGTAATGTGCATGCATTAGTACGTATACGCATACCTTGTACACCGGACCCGAAGACAGAATAGCATGCCACAACTCATTTAACACCCCTTGGCGGCCGCTTTGATGTACTCACGTTATCGCATGTTGACGGGCAATCGCAATGGTCGTGTGTGTGTGCCTGTCAACCCCCAAAAACGCCTTGTAAAACACTGCTATCCGGAAGGCTTTGACCTGTAGAGCTCGCAGCTCTCCCTCCCCTCCACTCTTTGATGAGCTTTCGTCTGCCACCAGGATAGGCATTATCATCCTGTGCTCGAACGCCGTGTAGTTAGCGCCAGAACTGAAGAAGGATGGGCCCCCCCGGGATTCTAAGTAGGATGCTGGGAGTTATGAGCTTGAACTCCTTTTTGCGCCTGCACAAAGAAGGGTCAAACATCCACATTCATAGGTACTGTACATCTCAGACCCCCATGACGCAACATTAAGTGACAAATACAGCAAACTCGAACACCTCACCTCTGAAGAACTCTCATGTCAACCTTTCCAAGGGGAGCGATGAAGGTGTCCATCATGTCGATGAACACACCCGAGTCCAGGACGTGCAGTGTGTCAGCCAGGCAAGACAGGTACACGTTTCCCCACTCGGTGTCTGCGAAATTCCACCGTTGAAGCACGCACTGCATGGCACAAACCGTGAAATAGTGTCAAAAACCCTGGCTAACAATATCCACCCACAGTGTAGTATTCACACTCCTATACACAAACGCATACACACCTTGATGGGATGTGTTGACCAAAAATTCCGTACGTCGTCGGCGTCACCCTTTTTGGAGCACGCCAGGATCTTGCGCACAATGTCTCTCTGCTTCTCAGGGGTTCTTGAATCAGACTTCCCTACCATCGTGGTCAACTCGCCCTTCACTACATAACAGTTAGCGCATGGTCGATGAGACCCTTGCTGAAGAGTCGCAGAAGCTCTGTTGGATTCCACGAGACAAGGGACCGCCTTGTGCACCTTCCCTTCCACGTCAGTGCAGTAGAAAAAATGTAATGGTGCACTGCACAGTGACACATAGCCCTCTGTGTATTCAATACCAGTGCTCGGACGCATGAAAGATCACAGTTTCCATACTTATGATATTCAAACCCCACCCCTCCCCCCCATCCCCACACTTCCACCTCCCCCCCCCTACCCTACCTCGCAGATTCCCGCATGAGGGGCGCGAGAATTCTCTTCAGGGCCTCTTAGAACACCCAAGTCTTCTCTGTAGACGAAGCCCATTCCGGTAGGAATGGAAGCACCGCAGCCAGTGTGTGTCCTGGATCCACTGCACGCATTTCTTCGGGTATGTTGATCAGTGATATCTGAACTGGCCACGCGTTCCTCCATCCATTCCCTGGTGCCTGCGTGCTGTCACCGCTGATCAGTACGCCTAGAATGAGTGCCTTGTCATCATTAATCTCCCTCTTCCATATGCAAGGCACGAGTAACAAGACCGTCTTAAGCACATACTTAGTGCAGCCTATCCCACAGATATAGACGGTCGCAACGTTAACATGCGTACCTGAGCATCGTGTATCCAATCTCTAGTCTCTGGACCTTAAAAAATACGCTCGTTATTTTTCTTTTGATACATCTTCTTAGTCTTCCAAATGAAACCCTTTTTGGCGGAGAACGTCTGCACCTGCTTCTTTACGATCTGCGCATGCGCCGATGGGACAGTTGGTAACTCATATCGCTGTACCTACAATTGGCAACACATTGTGACACCACAAGGAACTGATCTCACACGTACCATCTCCGTATCCCGGTAGTGCAGGAGCAGCTTCTGTTGCTGGCCTTTTGGCCCCTCACTACTATCTCCTCCCGTCCTCCACGGGACCATGTCAGCGGGTGCTCGCGCCATGCCCCATCACCTCACATCTACCCAATTGCGCAATCGTCTCAGGGCCCTAAGGTTGAAGCGCGGATTACAGAAAATATGTAGCAGACGGTTAACTTTCCTATGCGACAAATCGGCATCCCAGAAAAATAGGTACAACGCTGTCAGTGTATAAAAAATTTCCCTCCTCTCGCAGCCTCCTGAAGAAGGGGAGGAGTCCCCGTCACATGGTGTCTCCGCAGCGCCGACCAGGCTAACGTCAGAGATTGACGGGGTTGGTGCGACGGAGACAAAA